AGGGCAGCTCCTGCACCAAGGCTAGCAGCTCCTGGCGCACATTGCTCCCCTGCAGATGGAGCAGGGACACAATGGGGCAGGGAGACACACAGCCAAATTCCTTCCAGACTGCTTATAGAGCTGGTCAGGGGGCTGTGGGGTCACTCTCCCCATCCAAAAGGACACGGGGTCCCATAACAGCACCGGGGGACTCACAGTGATGCCGTACTGCTTGCAGGAGGCGTAGAAGCGTTCCCGCAGCTCAGCAGCTGCCAGCTGGCACTCCTCCTCACGACGGGCCAGGTCCTGCTGGGCCTGCTGGCAGCGGGAGATCTGCTTGCGCAGTGCAGGGACCTCATAAGTGACATTACGCACCAGGAGGGCAGCGAGCTCAGCTGTGGGGTGGGAGGGCCATGAGGAGCTGCGATGGTCCCCTACGGCCCGCTGCTTTCTACCCCTTCCCTGGGCACCTCGCAGCCGTACCCAGGTAGGTGTTGTCCTTCTCATAGAGGGCCACGATCTCCTGCCAGTCCTGGGGAGGGGGAAGCAAAGGGTGAGGAGGAGGGCACAGGCATGGGGCACCTGTAGCCCATCCCCGCTCACCTTCATGCGTTGGGATGAGTATCGCCCAAAGAGGTTCTTGGTGGAGGCCTCGGTGCCCCTGAGGATGTCCACGATGCGGAGGCAGTGCGAGTAGTGAATGGCTGGGAAGGGGAGAGGGAAGGGGAGAGGGAAGGGGAGAGGGAAGGGGAGAGGGAAGGGGAGAGGGAAGGGCAGAGGGAAGGGGAGAGGGAAGGGCAGAGGGAAGGGCAGAGGGAAGGGCAGAGGGAAGGGCAGAGGGAAGGGCAGAGGGAAGGGCAGAGGGAAGGGGAGACGGAAGGGGAGGAACAGAGCTGTCACGGGACTGAACAGATGCTCATGGTTGGGGTGGGGGGGGTGTGAAGGGTCGTTCAGGTTTCTCTCACCGGCGCCTGCCAGCAGCTGTGCGATCTCCTCGTGCTCAGGCATATCCCGCAGTGCAGCCTCGATCTTCTGTCGCACGGCGCTCACCTGGGCCTGCCAGCGCAGGCCGCAGTGCCGCCGGTCCACCAACCAGTCTGTGAGGGGGGGGGGGAAACGGTGAGCGGCCCGAGCTGCGGGGCGCGGGGAGCTGAGGAGGCCGCAGTGCCCGCAGGTTGCCGTACCCAGCAGTTTGCCGGTCTGGATGTCGATGGGCACATCCTGGTAGTCCCGCGGAGAGGCCTGCGGGAGGGAACGGTGTGAGACCTGACCCCTGACCTCTGACCTCCTGACCTCTGACCCCCGAGCTCCGGTCCCGCTGCCCACCTGCATCCCGCCCGCTGCGCGCCGCTCGCCGCTTCCGCTTCCCCCGCTTGGCCCCGCCCCCCACGCCTCAGCCAATCCCCGCCGCGCACCGTACGGCGCAGCCAATCCAAACGCGCAATGCTCCGTGGGTCCCGCCCCGCTTCCAATCAGGAGCACGCGGCGGATGGACAGTGCCACGCGCCGCTCCTTCGATTGGCGGAGAGGCGGCGGCGCTCGACCAATGGGAACAGGGAGCTGTCGGGAGGGCGGGACGCAGCTGATGCCCGAGGGTGAAGAGGCGTGCGCATGCGCGGTGCGATGCGGGGGGTTGCGCCGTGTGCTGCGGTGTCCCCACGAAGCGGTGACCCCGATGGCCCTGTCCCCACAAACTGTGTCCCCGTGACCCACATCTCCATGGGCCGCGTCCCCGTAGTGTCCCCACGAGCCACGTGTATCCCCACCGGCCACGTGGTGACCCTGCAGCGTCCCTACGGGCCACGTCCATGCGATGTCCCCATGCGCTGTGTCCCCATATCCCACAGCCCCATGAGTGCTGTCCCTGCCGTGTCCCCATAGCCCGTGTCCCCACACCATAGAGATGACAGCATAGCGCCCTGCTTTGTGCTGGGCACTGGGAAGGTTCCATGCTTCCTTCCAATCCCCCAAACCCAACGTGACACCGGGGACGAGGGGGTGATGGTGGGGGAGGGGGGGGTCCTTCCCAGTGCCACCCCCGTGGCTCAGCCACCACTTCCCCCATCATGAATATTCAGCGCAGCGTTGGCCCGGCCCCCGCTGTTTGCTCAAGCAGGAGTGGTTTGCTCTCGGGTTCACCTTGACTCAGAGCAGCGGGGCAGCAGCAGGTGTGGGGCCCCACGCTGTCCCTGGGATCCCCCAGGCTTCTGAGCGGGGCAGGAGGCTCAGGTAGGGCATCACGGTGCTGTCGGTGGGAACGGGGTGGCTGAGACCCCGTGGTGGCCGCATCCAGGTGACAGCAAACTGTCCTGGGGGCTTCCCACGGCCACGTCTCCATTGCCAGGGTCTGTGTGACGTGGTGGCCTTTCCCTCTAACCTGGTACCCCAAAGCAGCAGTGGAGGCACAATGCTGGGTTGGGTGCCAGAGCCGGGATGTGGGATGGGGTCTGATCTGTAGGATCTGGAGGTGTTCAAGGCCAGGTTGGATGGGGTCCTGAGCAGCCTAAATGGGGAGGTTGGTGGCCCTGCATGTGGCAGGGGGGTTGGAGATTCGTGATCTTTGAGGTCCCTTCCAACCCTGCCCGTTCTGTGATTCTGTAGGGTCAGTGGAGGCACTGCGTGGGCACGGGGCTGTTATCCCCGCACCAGGGTGGAGCCTGGAGGGCTGGGAATCCCCTTCCCACTGTGCTCACCCCGACCACAGCAACACTGCAAAGAGGGAAACCATAAGGCTGGGGTGAGCTGTACCATCACACTGCCCCGTGCCACTTCCCTGTTCCCCTTAACGCTGCCACCTCCCGCCCAGGTGCCCCGCAGTCATGGCTGAGAGCCACAGCTGGTGGAAGCTGACCTTCCTGAGGAAGCGTAAATCCATGCCCAAGGTGCTGTATGACAGCCCCGACATCCACGCCGGCGACGGCCCCGAGGGTTCAGCAGAGGAAGGGACGCCCGACTTCGCCGCCCGCCTGGAGAAGATCGTGGATAAGAGCACCAAAGGGAAACACGTCAAGGTGTCCAACTCCGGCCGCTTCAAGGAGAAGAAGAAAGTCAGACCCACGCTGGCTGAGAACCCAGGGCTCTGTGCAGACAGTGAGCGGGAAGAGAAATGAGGCTGGGAGGGGGCAGTTTGGGTCCATCCTGCCCCAACGTGAGCCCCCAGTGCTGCCCCATTGGGATCCCTTGACACGACGGAGCTGGGGGGCTCATTGCTGCACACCCCCCCCCGATGGCACTTTGTTAGGAAAACAGACTCAGATAGGAGTTTATTTAAGGAAAAAGCAAGAATCCTATTTAAACGCAGCCCCGGTGGGCGCTGGCTGCTGGCTCACTCAGTGACAAAGAGGGGATGGATGGGGCAGGGAATGCTGCAGGGCACACAGCCCCAACACGGTGCATCCCCCCGCTGTGCTATGGGGCACCCATGAGCAGCACTGGGCTGAGTCCTGCTGGGACAGGGCAGCCCAGGACGAAGCACTCAGGGCTCAGTTTGGCTGCAGGACCTCTGAAGCCCCTTTGCTGTGTGCTGCCCTGAGCAAACACAGAAGTTTGACGCCGGGACAAAGCCCTGCTCATCCCCAAAGCCTGAGGAGCTGCGCAGCCCTCTGTGCTGATCTTTGCACTGCTGGATGCAGCCAACCCTGGCCAAAGGATGGGCCACTGCTCAGGATACTGTCGGGACCTGGGAGGGCTCCAGGTTTCCCAGCAGGAGCTGCGTTCCCACCCAGGACCAGGAATTGCTCTTTGCTCCCGGAAGGGGAGAGCTGCTCACAGACCATGGCGAGGGAGCCGAGCTCATAGCCTCTCTCTTTGTGCTGTTCTTATTTTTTTATTACGGAAGCTGAGCCTTTCGTGAGGTCTTCCAACTGTTCTTTGGGAATAAAACAGGTCTGGGAACAAAGGGAGCGTGGTGGCTGTGTGTGGGAATCGCAGGGAGCTGCAGGGACTGGGACAGCTCAGGGTTCAGTTCTGAGCTCCCAGTGCAGCTCTGGCTCTGCTGTGAGTGGAGCCCACGGCACACAGGGAATCCCCAGCCCCACTGCAGCACAAACACACCCCAACAGGAGCACCCACAGCCTGGCACCACACCGTGCTGGGGCTGCCATTGGTGCCAGGATGGCTGCACAGGGAGCTTGCCCTGCCCACAGAGCGCACCTGAACTCACCAGGAAAAAGCAACAGCTCTGTAACAACTGTAAAAGCTGAACTGTGCCAAATGCCAGGACCCAAATCCCGCTGCCATGGCACAAAGCCTTTGCCAATGCTTCTCAGCAGCCCCCGCCCTGGCTGTTTGCATACTGAAGACGTGGGTTCACAAGGTGCTCTTTGTCCCCACGCTGGCAGTGCTGCAAGGTTCCTGCCCAGAAGGGAAAGGAGGAAGGGGGGCAGCGAGGTGACGCCCATCACAGCAGCGTCTGGGCTCCAGAACCATGGGGACACACAGAGTGGGGGTAGAAGCAGCTGTGCTTGTCACCCAGGGTCACCCACAGAGCAGAACCAGCTCCAGCAGAGCCCCCAGCCCCACGGTGGGACATGCAATCACCACCCCACACTGCTGAGCACCACGGCAGCACTCAGCCAGGGATGAGCACAAGGAAGGACCAAGTCGACTGCATGACTCAGTGTGATGGGGGCAGAGGGGCAGATGATGCTGCAGGGGCAAAGGAGCACTTTGGAGCGGTGTGACGCAGCCACCTGGCTCAGCCCAATGCTCCCTGCTGCCACCTCCCACTGCAAGGCTGTGCTCAAGTCCCAGGGGGTTTCCAGCTCCAGCACCACAGCACGAGGATGTAGGTGGACCTGAGCCATGTGGGGACCTTCCTGCCCCACCAGCTGTGGCTGAGACCCCCCTGCTGCCCCGAGAGCCAGAGGCTGAGTGCACAAATGCACGGAGCTGGCAAAGGGCAAAGGTTATCAGGGCCTGGTTTCACTGGGAAGTGGCCCAAGAGCAGAAGGAGCAGTGGCTGAGCCAGCAGCACCCTCTGCTGGGAAAAGCAGCCAAGCCCAGCTCTGCTGGGTAAACATTAACCCAAACACTGCACAGCTCCGCTCTGATCAGACTTTATTGTTCCCATGTACAGGCAGGGAGCAGTGCTGGTACAGATGGGGTGAAGATTGGGGTCCTACAGCCCCACAGAGATGGAACACACGGGTGGCAACAAGCAGAGCCAGCCAAGAGCACTCACAATAATATCAGAGCCACAGTTAAAGAAGTTATTGCACCGACTGAGCAAAAGGCATGATTCTAGCTAAAACACAGGGCATGATTGGTCCCAGCAGCAGGGCAGGATGAGGGCAGGGGATTCACCAGTGCCCTTCTACAATCATTCACGTAATTCATTAACACCACCAGTCCCAAGGGCAATTGCTACTCACACGCTGGCAGGGGGAAGCAGGGGTCTGTGGGACCGACCTGTCTCTGCCTGCTGTGAGCACAATGGGATCTGGGGGGGGCTGAACTGAGCCCCCCCAGCACCACCAGGGAAGGGCAGAGTGAGGCTGCAGCTCCCCAGGACACAGCAGGGGACACATGGGGGATTTGGCACAGGGAACACTGCCAGTCAGGTGAGTGCAGCCAGGAACATGCAGCTTCATGGGGAAAGGCGTTCGAACACCCAGCCATCCTCACCCTGATGTGTCATTTGTCCCAGGGGGGCTGTGCTGTCTCGTGGGCGCCGAAAAACGATGCGGTCGTGCAGGCGGTTGGTTTGGCCCTGCCAGAATTCCATCACCTCTGGCTGCAGGATGTAGCCTCCCCTAGGAGAGAAATGCAGGTGGTGAGGAGCACTGCAGGGTGTGGTGGAACCACGGTTCCCTACCGGCGTGGCTCACCAGTAAGCTGGTTTTGGCACTGTTGTGTCCCGGTACTGCTCCTCCAGCTCTGCGTTCTTCTTCCTCAAATACTGCAGGGAAAGGGAAGGTGTTGAAATCAGGGCAGGATGGTGGCAGCTGGGGGAGCCCTGCTGGTCCCACCTCCCTGCTCACTTCTCTGTCTGGGATGACGGTGCTCTGTTGGCTGACAACTGCCCCAATCTGGCTGCCCTTAGGGCGGGAGTGGAAGTACTGCTCCGATTCCTCCTCTGACAGCCGCTTCACTGAGCCCTCAATCCGTACCTGTGCAGGGCAGGGATAGGTGAGCACAAGTTGCCTAGGGGCCCAACAGCCCCCAAAGCCCTTGACACACATCCCATACCTAGTCTGGGCTCTGTGTTGTTAAGAACTCAGAGTTAGAAAGGACCTTTAAATGTCACCTAATCCAATGCTTAATGAACAGGGACACCTACAGCTCAGGCAGGGAGCTCAGAGCCTCACCCAGTCTGACCTTGAAGCTCTGCAAGGATGGAGCATCCTCTCTGGACAGCCTGTACCACTGCCTCACCACCCTCACTGTAAAAGACCTTTTCCTTACATTCAGTCTATATCTCCACTTTCAGTTTGAAACTGCCCTATCCCAGCTGACCCTGCTATAGCATCTGTTCCCTCCTTCCTTACAGCTCCCTTTGCACAGGGCCTACCCCTGGCAGCATGAAGGAAGAACAAGCAGCCAAACCCCACCTGGAGAGCCCGAACCTGAAAGAACGAATCCCAAAATCCCACAGAGCCCCTGGGGGAAAGGAGGACACGTGGCCTCGCACCACGCACACACCTGCCGGTGGAGGGGCTCCCAATAGAAGACAACAGAAGCGAAGGGGTTGGCATCCTGAAACGTGGAGGGGGGGATAGGAGAGAGCCGTCAGCCGCCACGCAGCTCCGGGAGGAGCCCCGCGGGATCCCCGCTCGCAGCCCCGCAGCCCGGCGCTCACCAGCTCCCTCCCTTTGCGGCTCTCGTAGTTGGTGAAGAAGCGGAACCCGTCGCGCCCGAAGCCCTTCAGCAGCACCATACGGGCCGAGGGCCTCCCGTCCCTGCGATAGCGGGCGGGGGGCGGTCAAGGCCCGGCGGCACGGCCCCCCGCACCCCCACCCCCAGCACTCACCTGCCGCACGTGGCCAGGCACATGGCGTTGGCCTCGCCCACCGCCGGGCACCGCGCCGCCTCCGTGAACCAAGCCGCGAACTGCTCGATGGGGTGCCGGGAGGCCAGGTGCCGCTCCTCGAAGGCCTGCGGACACCGAGGCGATGTGAAGGTCGGGGGACCCCACGGCCGAGGCCTCGCCGCCGCCCCCCGCCGCCCCGCACCTCCTCGTCCCGGCGGTAGCCCATCCTCAGCGGCCCCAGGTCCATGGCGACGGCAGCGGAGCGGTGCCGAACCCCGCGCACTGCCGAACCCCGCGCACTGCCGAACCCCGCGCACTGCGCACTGCCGAACCCCGCGCACTGCCGAACCCCGCGCACTGCCGAACCCCGCGCACTGCCGAACCCCGCGCTCCGCTACATCCCCGCCCCCGCAGATCAGCCAATAGAGAGCCGCGCTGCGGGGCGGCACCGCCCATCAGGAAGCCAATAGGAAGCGGCGTTGCGGCCGACCACGCCCACCAGCCTCACTGCCCACTCGCGGGTGTTGAGCCAATAGGAAGGCGCGCTGCGAGGGCACCGCCCACCGGCCTCACCGCCCATCAGGGAGCCAATAGGATGCCGCGCTGAGGGAGGCACCGCCTACCGGTTACAACCATGTTTGGGCGCAGGCAGCGCGCAGCGCCCCCACGTGGCGGGAGGACCGGGGCACCGGGAGCGGGGCTGGGGGCAGCGGGGGGGGATCGAGGCGGGGAAAGGAGCTGGGCGGAGCGGGGTTTGCCTCTGGCGAGCAAATTTATTGAGCAAGAAAAGCTCCCGGCTGCCTCCACACCGGCCAACCGGTTACAGGTAATTAGAACAGATCTGTCACAATCCAGAAAACAACCGTGGGCAGTTACAACTAAAAAATAAAGTGGATCTGTTTTAATTTAAAAGCTCAAAAATAACAAGCCATATGTTTTGTTTTGTTTCCTTTTCTTTTAAACGCAGTAAACACAAAAGCAATATAATCTATGATACAATGTACACTATACACAGTCGGGGTGGGGGGGGGGAGCACATAAAGGAGATTAAAGTCCCAAGATTGAAAGGGAAACGCCACGCCACTTGGAAACAGAAAGGAGAGAAAGAGTGAAAGAAACCTTCATTGTTGGAAAAGAAACGCAGGAGAGGGGGGAAAAAGGGTAGAAATGGGGGAAAAGGGGGAAAAAACTGTGGGGGAAAGGGGAAAAAAGGGGGAGAAAAGGGAAAAAAGAAATGGGAGAGGGGGAGAGGGAAGGGTCTGAGGAGGGAGCAATTAAATAAAGATGTGGAAAAAAAAGCACTCACCATACACAGTGTTGGTAATCGGGAACGGGGAGCGTAAGGCAACGATCTCCATAGAAAAAAAGGGATCTTCCAAAGGGGTTTATATAGATATTTATAACTATTTATAGATTTTAAATATAAAGTAGGAATGTGCTGTGGAGGCGTTCTCGGCCCTCCCGCATCGGAGGGTGCAGCCCCTGGTGTGTGCCAAGCCCTGCATGCCCGCTGTGCCGGGGCCACGCCGGGTGCTTTGCCCCACGGCTCCACGAGGGGATCGGCCCCTCTGCGAGGGCTGCTGCTTCTGCGTGAGGCCCACACGGTGGCAGAGGACGTCCCCAAGAGCTGTGCTGAAGGGGACACGGCTGCCCTCAAAGGGCGACCGGAGAGACTGGAGTGCTGTGAGGGCGGTAGGGTGACAGGTCGGTGCCTGGTGGATCCTCACCGTGACCCCTCAAGGTGGAGGGGGGGGGGGGTTTGTTCAAGACGTGGCTCCCAGCCCTACAAGTTCTTGGTGATCAGGTGGGTTTTATAGTGCTTCGTCAGGTGGTCGCTCCGCATGAAGCGCTTCTGGCACTGCGCGCACTCGAATCTCTTGTCGCCTGCAGGGAGAGCAGTGGCCGTCAGGGCTGGGGGACCTTGGGGACATTGTCACACCCACAGCCCTGCTGTGTCCCCATAGCACCCAGTCATGGCCACAGGGACCTCCCGGGGAGGTGGTGATGCCCATGCCAGGGTCCCTTTTGTGGCCCCACGCTCACCTTGACAGCCCAAAGGCAGCAAAACGCCCCTCAGTGTTCATAGGATCATAGAATGGCCAGGGTTGGAAGGGACATCAAGGATCACGAATCTCCAACCCCCCCACCACAGGCAGGGCCACCAACCTCCATATTTAATACTAGACCAGTTTGTCCAGGGTCCCATCCAACCTGACCTCCAGGGATGGACAGGGCATCCACAGCCTCTCTGGGCAGCTGTTCCAGCACCTCACCACTCTCATAGTAAAGAACTTCCCCCTGACACCCAACCTAAATCTTCTCTCCCTCAACTTCAAACCATTTCCCCTTGTCCTGCTGTCATTTACCCTTTCAAATAGTTGACTCCCCTCCCGTTTATAGGCTCCATTTAGGTAATGAAAGGCTACAATTAGGTCACCCTGCAGCCTTTTCTTCTCCAGGCTGAACAAGTCCAGTTCTCTCAGCCTGTCTCTGCAGTAGAGATGCTCCAGCCCCCTGATCATCCCTGTGGCTTTCCTCTGGACCCTCTCCAACAGCTCTCATTCCAATCCCTTCCCAGTATCTCTACCACATCCTAATAACAGTCAGTGGCAGTCTGAGATCACGCCAGCCTTTGGGGCCTCACAGGGCATGGGACAACGATTTGAGGACTGCCCTGGGAGTGAGAGGGGTGCATGCAGGGCCACAGACCTGTGTGTGTGCGCGCGTGCCGCTGCAGCTCATCGCTGCGTGTGAAGCGCTTCCCACAGAACACCCAGTTGCAGACAAAAGGACGTTCACCCGTGTGCAGGCGCACGTGAGCACGCAGCAGAGAGGTCTTGCGGAAGGTCCGCCCGCATTCGGGGATGTGGCAGATGTGCTTCTTCTTCCCTTGGTCCCCCGGCCTGGTGAGGAATGCAACGGGGCAGGTGTCAGCCCTGCAATGGGCACAGACCCCCCCCTGAGCTGACCCCCTCCCCTCTGCACAGTGCTCACCTCTTCTCCCCATCCTTGCAGTTGGGGCAGGTGCACGCCATCCGCCGTCGCTTTTCTCCTGGTTGCATCTCCCCGGCCAGTGCTTGCTCCATCTGGAGCTGGATCTGGGTCGGGCTCAGGCCACTGATGGTCAGATTGTTGCCAGAGACGTTCTGCACAGTCAGCTGCTGCTGGCCTGGGGAGGGAAACGGGGAATCAGGTTCTGCCCTGTGAGCCCCCGTGCCCAAGGGGCTGAGAGTGTCTCCATGCTGCGTGCACTGAAGCCCTGTGGAAGCGGCTGGCCAGGGGAAAGACCACGCGTGTGGAATGGGACGGAACCCAGCTGGGCACCCCAGCCCCACATGCAGCATTGCCACAGCCCCATTGCTACATGCTGGCCCCAACTGGGGCTGGTAAGTCCCTTTTTTCTGAATATACTGTGCGGTTTTTCAAAGTTTTTGGTTTGACCCTTCGGGGTGGGGAAATGACCAAAGAGGAAACAAAAAAGAAACTTTGAAAAAACGTGCAATATATTGACCAAAAAAATGGGACTTACCCTGGACCCTAAGGGCCGCTCCACGCTCGGGCACTCACGGAGGTGGCAGCCTGGGCCCTGCACAGCACCCGGGCAGCCATGATGGGGGCTGGAAAGAAGAAGACGGGGTCAGCGTCAGCAAGCTCTGGGGGCAGCAGGCAAGGAGGAGGAGGAGGAGAAGAGTGGGATCTGATGGATGAGCAAAGAGGAGGTCATTGCACAGAGGGGATGCGGGCAGAGCAAAGGTGTCAGTGCAACACTGGGAGGAGAAGTGCTAAGCCTAGGGTGAAGGCAGCTCTCTGACAGCACGGCGATACACACAGGCCCTTCTCATCCTTGAGAAAACCAGGATCAGCCTTCACTCGTGGAGCCAGCAGGTCCTACCGGTCCCCTCACAGCCAGGGCTCAGCACGGCCTGGCCAACCTTGTGGCACAGTGCGGGGAGCGGTGCAGACAGCAGCAGTATCTGCCTGTGCCATCTCCTGACACTCAACACAAAGCAGCAATTAAAAACCCCCTTAAAAGCTACCCCAGTGATGACAGCGGTCCACTGCGGAGTACTAAACCACACTGGACCACGTTTTATGCTGACATCGTTTAGTCGAGCAAGAAAGAACAGCTTCTGACTGCAAAACCCAGTCGGGACTCCTGCTGGTTCTTGCTGGGAGAGAAACCACTGAACGTCAGCAGGTCTTTCTGGATCACAAAGCAGATAAACTTCCCTCAGACCTAACTTCTTCCCCTCAGCTCCCTGCAGCTGCCAGCTCCGGGCTGGGGACAATTTGCCAGCGCAGGGAGGACGGAGCTGCCATGGGGACGTGCAGCTCCTGGCAGGCAATGGGAGACAGAAGTGCGCCAGGGCTGTCTGTGGCTCACAGGCCCGGGGCTGTGTCTGGTTATTTTCGGTTTAAGACAGACACTTGTTCCACAGAGGAGCTGGATTGGCTCTGAGGGAGTGGCAGTGCCTCATGACACAGCCTGCATGCATGAAGGCACCTCTCCTGGTTTGGCTATGGGCAGTGCAAACAGCAGCATCCTCGCCCGGCAGCATGGCAGGTGCAAGGAGAGGTGCCTCCTGATGACACAAACTCATCCCTGGGTGCAGCTCACCGCCCCTGCACAGCACACAGGACAAAACAGAGTCACTCAGGGCCCTAAAGCAGACATATCAGGGTAAATTTTTCACTCAGAGGGCAGTAAAGCCCTGGCACACTGCCTCTGTGTAGACGCTCCATTCCCAGAGGTGCTCAAGGCTAGGTTGGATAGGGCCCTGGGCAGCCTGGTCTGGTGGGAGGCAATCATTCTACAGCAGGGGAGTTGGAACTGATGATCTTTAAGGTCCCTTCCAACCCAAGCCATGCTATGATTCCATGTCCTGCAGCTCAGCACAACACTGCAGGTCTGTGCTAACTGCTGTCCCTGACACAGCCAACCAGCAGAGCAGCCAAAGAGCCACACTATGAAACACACAGAGCCTCCTGCAGCGAAGAGAGCTAGAGAAACTGTTGACATTTAACACCCAGCAACATGCAGCCTCGGGATACAAGGGTTCTGTTTACAAAGCTGCCACATCCCGACTGCAAAGAGCACTGCTAGAGGGGGCTGTCTGTCCTCTGCATCTGCACCCCGCTGTCCCTCCTGCTCGCCGCGGCGCAGCACGCAGCCCACCTCCAGAATTGGTGATGGTGACAGGCACACCCTGGACCTGCACTCCGTTGATGTTGATGGTCTGCATGGCCTGTGCTGCAGCTGCCAGCTGGGCTGCACTCAAGCTGATGACTCCTCCGGCAGGCGCGATCTTTGGCAGCGGGCGCTCCTTGCGTGCGGTTGGTTTCTTGCTGCTGGATGCTGTGCCAGAGTTGCGGGATACAGGGCTGCTGCAGGAGGTGCTGGATGGAGCCACTGTCACGGCTGGGGCTTCCTGGAGCAGCACTGTTTGCAGTTCACCCGATGGTGTTTTGAAATAAACCTGATGGGAGGGAGAGAAGAAGAATGAGACTGGTTGAAGCCAGCAGTGAAGGGCAATCTCCACTCAGAAATCCAGAAATGTGGGCCTGCAAGAAGACACAGAGAAGCTGCCCACACTTCTTAAGACACTGGGGCTCCTGCAGACTGGTCCTGGCCTCACACAACAGCAGAGGGCTGCTATGGCTTTGCAGCCTGGTTTCCAAAGGTAACACGAGCAACAGTCCTGCAGCCTGTGAGCCTGCTCCCCCATCCCCCCACGCTTCTGACAGGCAGGATAACTCCAGCCTGAGCTGGAAACACAGCAGTTTTCAAAGACATGGTGCTCCTAAAAGTCCCGTGAAAAGAGGCAGCCAGGGAGAGGCTTATTAAAGCCCCAATGAGGGAGCAGCTGCACTCCCAACCCTTCTTGGGCATCAGAGAATCCACGCCTGAACCTGATGCCAATCTGGGGATGTGTCTCACAAAACTCTTCAGCTTTCTAAAGCCCAAAGAAGGGCTTGGAGTAGAACCAGGGCAGAGGGACATCACAGCAGACGATGTACCTGCGTAGGAGTGGACTCTGTCGTCTGGATCTGGATATTCTGGGAGGACTTCTGGGGGACGGTGGGGAGCGTGGCTGAGGCAGCCTGGACCACACGCAGGGCCTGCTGTGGGATCTGCACCACCTGTGACTCCTGCTTGGGCTGTACCACCTGCACCTGCTGCACCACGGCAGGCTGGCCAGAGCCTGGGCTCTGCACGATCAGCAGGTTGTTCCCCGCCTGGATGATGTTCTCCGCCGTCGTCTCTATCAACACTGTCTCCACCTGCTCAGTCACAGCCACGGTGGAGGGCTGGCTGGGTGACATGGCTTTCTTTCGAGTCTTTTTGCCAGGCTTTGAGGGGCTCTCTGCAATGACCTGAGCCTGTGTGCTTGACTCTGCAGCGTTCACCAGGTTGTTCACAGGCAGGGTAAGAGTCACGTTGCTGCCACCGGTTAACTTGACCACGTTGCTCGAGCCCTGCACCGGTGAAGCTCCACTTTTCTGTGCTGGTGCTGGCTTGATGGGCACTGGCTTGTGAGAGGATGAGGATGGGGTGAGAATGGCCTGATTTGTGCCTGGAATAATTTGGATCTGGTTGGTGAGGTTGGGCTGGACTTGGATGGTCTGTCCCCCTGCAGCCTGGATCTGGGGCACCGTCTGGTACTGGATGTTTGCAGATGAACGAGTCCCTTTGCTGATGACAGTTGGGTTCTGAATGGCAAAAACCAGCTGCCCCCCGGGGTAGGAGGTGCCAACCTGGGAGCCCTGGATCTGGAAGAGATTCCCTTTCGACGACAGGATCCCGAAGCTGTTCTTACCAGAGCCCAGAGGGAGAGGAGCAGGTTTGATGGGGACAAGTTTGCGAGGCGTTGGCTGAGGAGGGGCAGGAGGAGTCACGGCGGCTTCCACTGCTGGGGGACCAATTTTGCTACATGTTGCTGCGAGGAGGGCGAGCGGAGACGGCTGGGAGTCCTGGGAACCAGGAAGGAGACAGGCATGTTAGAGACAGGGTCTTAAGCCAAACAGGACTGAGATTGAGTCAGAGAGGGAAAGGGTACATGCTATCGAAAGTAACTCAGTCCATGCCAATTAAACACTGCTTATTAAGTGAGCTGCTTAATTAGCCATATCACGTGTGCCTTTAGCTCGCCCTAGTCACACTAATTTAGCCATCAGGATGCTGGCTGCCTTTTAATCCCATGTCTATGTTCTTACAACCTCCATAAAGCTGCAGACGCCCTTCAAGTCTGCTGCTACTCACACCCATTACACACACCCTGGAGTGTTTCACGCAGTTTTAATCCCAAGACCACCTTGTGAAATCAGCTGCTAACATGACCCAAGAGGTCCTTAAGGAAAACACACCACTGCTAGGAGCAACAGCACTGCCAGGAGTGAGCATTGGAGCTGGGAACGTGTCCAGAATGCAGCTCCCCAGCCTGTCTTGCAAGCAGAGCTCCTCCTGTGGGGCACGCTGCCTGCAGGCCCACACCTGGGGCACTGCTCCTGGTCCAGCAGGAGCTCACACCACCTGCACTCACCTGGGCAGTGGAGGCAGCTGGCTGCAGGTATTCACTGGGGCTGACGGCAGCAGTCGCAGCCATGCTGTCGCTCGATCTGCAAGGAGGAAGCAGTAAGACAGGAGTGAGGTCAGCAGTGAGAGCTGAGACCATCAATATTCAGGGCTCTCCTAGCATCAGCCAAGATGTGGAACCTTGCCTGCCTTCAGCTGGAGCTGGATAAGGGGCTAGAGATACACACTCATGTTTTTCCAAGCTGGAAAAGGCAGCTTGGAAAAACATTGTTTCAATTATTTCGGTATGTTGTTGGTGCTGAATGTTTGCAAGTTATTATGTAATTAAAAGGTCATTTGGGGGAACAGCAGAGCTGCTGGTGTTGGCTGGCAGCGGGACCTGAGGAAGCTGAGAAAAGCCACAGGAGAGCCAGGAGGGCACAGCAGCAGGGGCACAGGCTCCTAAATCCTCACCATTTGTTACATCTTTTCTTCTACGCTAGAAAGGTTTCATCCACAAAACATCCTTTGGCAAATCTCCCACTCACCCCCATCCAGCAGCCACTGAATGGTTCAATAGCTTAATAGTATTTGCCTAAAGAAGGTGCCAGGGAAAACTTGTCCAAGCTCGAATTTCTTTTATTACCACTGCTGACGATGTCCTGACTTCAACAGGGAATTATGGCCAGCTGAGGAATACGAGTGCTTAGGATTTATGTAGGGCATCTCTAAGCTGCAGCCATGCTGGGGTTATGCACAGAGACACCCAGACTGCAGGAGCAATGAGATGCAATGGCAGGGCCACACTGAAAGGGAAGACATGAGGCCCTGTGCAGCTCATCATGCACAGTGCCAGACAAAACAAGTTGTGTAAGCACTGCAAGTAGCTTCGTGCTGCTCAGCAGGGACTGAGAGGGAGCAGTGGCAGGGTGCTGGTGGATCCCACGCAGGTGAGAAGTGGGGCTGAGCAGGACTGAATGAATGGCACAGCTCAAGAAAATCAGACAGGGGTTGTTTCACAGCTTGTCAAAGCAGAGAAGTGTTGAAGGAGAAAAATCCACACTCCAGACCCTCTCTGCAGCAAAGGTGAGAGGCATTGGGTGCTCACAACCACAGAAAAGGATGCGTTCTTCCTGGAAAGCCAGGAGCTTGCACAGCTGCCCAAGCCCAAGGGCTGCACCCTTCCCTTCTGCAGAATTAGGGCACTGCTGAGGATTAGCAGCCCTGACTACAAATAAGAGCAAGCTGAGCTGGCTGGAGAGAGACATCAGAGAGATCCCATTAACCCGTACAAATAAACATCAGTGATGATGGGGGGAGAAGTTTCCTCCTTATACAACCTGTGTCTCGGTCCTGCAGTGACACTGTCCCACCCTGAAGGTGTGACACAGCACTGACAGCACAGCTCAGCTGCCCACGTGTTCACCCAGGGTTCCTCCTCACCAGAACTCATCACAAAGCTGACATTTGCTCCAAGTTAGGCACACATTCACATCCCATGGAGAATTTCAGGCCCTGTTTGCTATCCGGACATCCCCAGGAAAGCCTCAAACAGGAGAGTACTTTCCATTGAGGCAGCTGAAGAGCACCAATTCATAAAAGTCTTTTTTTTCTAGCCACTCTCCCGTTCCTTCTGCTTGTCACAAGTACAGTTTTATATGAAAACCATCTCCAAACAGTACATCTGGTGCAATTGCTCTTGCACAAAACCCAATTTAGTTTGGAAACTGTGCCATTATTTTTAATGTTCTCCTAGAGATGCAGAGAGGAGAAATGTTTTTTCCTCCCCATCCACGACAAGCCCAGCTCCTTGGCCAGCAATGCACAGCCCAGCAATGCTGGGACAGGAAAACTGGCACCTGCACACAGTCACACAGCAGCTCCTACACCCTCTGGGGACGCTGTGTGTGGTTTAAGATAACAATTTCAAGCCTTATCACGATAGCCTTATCTTTAATTAGCCAGTGTAACAGCCCCGCTCCGATAGAGGAAGCACTGCTCCGCTTTGCAGGCACGCAGGGCACACAATCTGCCATCCAGGCTTTCCCTGCTCCTGAAATGCCCCTCCTGTCCTGCTGGTGGATGCACAGAAATCAGTGCTGTGCTCAGAGATGGGCACTGACAGCCTGGACAGCTGTAAGCTGATGCACAGCGCTGTGTAATGGTCTTCTTTTTGGGAAGAAAACACGAGCCTAACTTTCTGCACTTGGTTAAAGCCAACAGGACAGAGCCCATCAACTCTCTGCAGTGTTTTTAAGCAGCTCCTGGAGCACGAAGATGACTTAGAGGCCCCTCAAAGACCTCAACATGCCACCCAGGGAAGCACAGCCACGGGGAAAAAACGACCCCGGCCCCTTTTGCACACACAGCACAGCACAGCAATGCTGACCCGTGAGCACTGAGTATGGAACTCAAGCATTGGGAATTCACACCTAACAGCAGGAAATCGAGCAGCATATTCGCAAAGCAGCCAAGCCTTCCGAGGAATCACTTCGTCTTCTCTTGACGGGCACAGACCGAGCGCTGCCCGGCCTTATCCCAGCCTTATCCCAGCTTTATCCCGGCATTATCCCAGCTTTATCCCGCTATTCCCCACCAGCTCCCTGTTTTCCCATCCCGGCCAACCCCCGGGACACGGAGCGGGGCAAAGCGCAGCTCCCAGGGACCGAGAGACGCCTCGGGGCTCCAACCGCACAGCCCCCCCGGGCAGCCCCCGCCCCGCCACGTACCGGGGTCCACCTCCCCGCCCCCCCCCCGCCCAGCCGTAGCGGCGGTTCTCCCCGGGGAGGCGGGACGAGGCGCCGGGCCCGCCCCCACCCGGGCCCCGGAAGCGCCGCCCGCCCGCTCAGCGCAAGGCTTGGGCGGGCCGAGGAGGCCGCGTTCCCCTTCCTGACCCGACCGTGCCGGCTCCGCCGCTCCCCCCGCACGACAACCCCCGCCCCGCCGCGCCCGGCCCCGCCTCGGGCCCGCACAGACCGGCCGGGGCGGCGGCAGCGGCGGCTCCGACCCCCTCACGGCGCCATCTTCCTCCTGCGGGGCTGTTCGGGCACCGCCCTGCGCGACCCGCCCTCCCGGCGGCCTCCTGCCCAATCTCCGCCCGGCTCGCGGACACTGACCAATCAGCTAGCGCCGACTTCTTGATCGGCAATTCCGCCGAGCAATGGGACGCGGTGATGGAGAGACAGCTCCGCCAATGGGAGCGGACTGACAATATGACGGACGGAAGCGGAGATCCAATGGGAGGGCGAATCTTTGATTGGCATCTCGACTAGCCAATGCTAATGTGCGCAGCCCGTCTCCATCCTCTGATTGATTGACAAGCTCCTGAGGCAGGGAGGCGGATTTCCTTTTGGGCGGGAGCTGCCAGAAAACAGTCTCCCGGTTGGCTACCACCAATATGATTGACAGAGTGATAAACCAACAGGAGGGGCGGGGCTGCCCCGCGCCGCCCGGGATTGGCTGCGCGCCCGGCGGCGGATCCGGGCGCTTTCAGCCCGGTGGAGGCGCGGGGTCCCGGCTGCTGGGGATCCGCTGAGCTCCGACCAGCGGCGGCGTCCCTCATTACCGCCTGAACGCGGGGCCGGGCCCGCAGCACCGAACCCCCCGTCGTGCTCCCGGTGCCCCCCGGAGGCCGGGGGGGGTCCCAGCCGGTGCCCGCCCTCCTCCGGCCCCCGTTGGCCCGGCCCCCCCCGCTGGAGCCAAATAATTGCTCGGCGCTTTGTTGTGCGGTGTCTATGGCCGCGGGGCCTCCATTTGTGGGAACTTGCTGCGGCGAGTGCCTCCCTTCTAATTACCACCCCCTCCTCGCTCTCTGCTTACTCACAGCGCCCGGCCTCGCCGCCTCCGACCCCCGCCCCGGCCCCCCGCTACCGACCCGGGCTGGGGGTCCCCGAGGCAGAGCAGCTTCTGAGGGGAAACCCATCAACACAATGAAGTGGGGATCCTGGGACGTACGGCTCACCCACGTCCCGTGTCAGACCAGTGCCCCATTTCGGACCCACGTCCCACCTGGCATCCCCCTCCCCCGCAGGCTGGCACTGCACAGGTACCCGCAGTGCTCCCCGGCACCATTTCACCCAATGGGGGGATGAGGGGCAGCTGCCTGCATTGCCCACCCTGCTTTGCCCACCCTGCATTGCCCACCCTGCATTGCCCACCCTACATTGCCCACCCTGCTTTGCCCACTCTGCACTGCCCACCCTTCTTTGCCCACCCTGCACTGCCTACCCTGCATTGCCCACACTATGCTGTCCACCCTGCATTGCCCACCCTACTTTGCCCATCCTGCTTTGCCCACCCTGCACTACCCACCCTTCACTGCCCACCCTTCTTTGCCCACCCTGCATTTCCCATGCTGTGCTTCCCACCCTACATTGCCCACCCTGCATTGCCCACCCTACATTGCCCACCCTGCACTGCCCACCCTGCACTGCCCACGCTGTGCTGCCCACGCTGCCCACACTGCACTCCTGCCCAAACAAGTCCCAGCCTGCCGCTCCCTGCCTCAGTTTCCCCAGGCAAGCAGTGACGCCAGCTTTCAGCTGCGGGCCCGGCACGGATGCAAGCAGGGACACGGGGATGGGGATGTCCTTGCTGTGGGTTGAGGGAGCAAACGTGGGTGGGTTTTGCACGGCAAAGGGAGAGGGTTTCCTGGCAATGGGATCCCTCAGCTCTTTGTCCCATGTCCTCAGTGGGACATGGGGACAAGGGGCACAGAACGGGACCACACAGATCAGCACTGCGACATGGGGATATGGGGACATGGGGACACAGCTCCATGCAGTGAGGCTGGGAGGGGTCACAGCGAGGCAGGAGATGGAGACACACACAACAACAGCACCAGGACGTGCCACAGGGCCCCAGCCAGGAGCCCTGCAGGACCTGGAACTGTCGTGTGGAGGGAGGACACGCTGCTCCCTGTGGGTCTGCATCCCCACACTCCCCATCCCCACAGCTCCCTAGCCCCAGCCCCTTCTAGCCATCCCCATGCCCGGGGCTGCTGGCAGCTGCTCAGAGCCCACACGCAATTAAGGCAATTAGGGCACCTCCGCAGCCCGCCAGCCCATCTCTGCTGAGATCATTAAACCATTCTTAATGATTTCTTCGAAGAATTAGCAGGCGGTTTGCAGAGCCCCTGCCGGGGGGGTGGCAAAGCCAACCTGGGGACGGGGACGGTTCCGTCACCGCTGCCTGGGGGCCCTGACGTCAGCCCCGCGCTGCTTCCACACCTTTGATCCACGCCATGCACCAAACCTGTTTCTGCATGGCTGGGCCAGCCCTGCCCCCCACCCAGGTCCTGGGGGCTCCGTGCATGGGGAGGAGGCGGAGATGGCACGACCAGGTGGCACCTGTCCGTGGTGTGGCCGTGTCTCCAACGCAGCCACGTGTCCCCATCCGCATCCTCAGAGCAACCATTGTGTCCCCAGTGCAGCCATACATCCCCATCCCCGGAGCAGCCACATCCCCAGTGTGGTCGTGCGTCCCCATCCCCCAATCAGCCACACGTCCCCAATTGTGGCTGTGTGTCCCTAACTCTGGCTGCTCTCCTCTGCCGTGCCGGGAGGGTTTCCTCGCGTGGTGACGGCCGGGCGGGCGCAGATATGCAGGGAGATTACGTGAAGCTCATTAAAATCCAGGCTTGAATCATCGCGGGCTGTCAGCTCCTCGCAGGGCAGGGGAGGCCGTCGTGCTGCAAAGGTTGAATCCCGACAGCAGTTCCTGTTCAGGTGAGAAATGCAGCCCCGGGGCACGCTGCGACCTGGCACGGCCGCGGGCAGAGGAGAGCATCGCGATAATCCCAGAGATATCTTTGTGTAGGGCCCACATGGGGGACCCATAGGGCAGCGGCTGGAGGCGTGTGGGGTGGGGAAAGGACAGGGACCCTGCTGTGCCCTGAGCTCCGTGCCAGGCATGGGGACAGGGACGGCATGGGGACGCTGTGCCATAGGTGCTGGGGGTCCCAAGGTGTTCAGGCATTTGTCCCACACACAGACCCCTTTGCTCCGGCTTTGTGGGCGCGCAGGGCCGAGGTCAACCCATAGGGCTGCGCCCATCCAGTGCCCCCCAGGTCCACGGGTGCCGTCATCCCCAGCGCCGTGCCTGGAGCTGTGCCATTCCCAGCATCACAGCCCCCCCCAGGGCCGTCTGGGTGCTGATCCAGGCGCCTGTCTGAGGCCCCACAACCCCCCCCAGGGGACTCCCCTGAGGCCGGGGCGATCCAGACGGCGCAGCCCCATGGGATGGGATGGGACCGGCTGCCATCACCCCAAGGCACTCCCTGCACAGCCCCCCCTGGAACCTGCTGGCAGGCACCTGGCTCAGCACCCAGCGCCATAGGCAGGTGCAGGCACACAGGGGTGCACGCACGCAGCACATCACCGTGCACACAGGGGTGTGAGCACACACTGGTGCACGCGTGCAGATGTTTGTGCACCGCACGTTCCCAGCGCCCCGCCAGCCCCGCTCCCCTCGCAGATCCCAATTTGTTTTATGACAGCAGAGGAAATTGCCATCAGTCCCCTTTGAAGTGCTCTGCCTGGAGGTCGGGAGGGGCCTCCCCCTCCTCCTCTCCCCCCCCCCCCCCCGCGACCCCCATCCTTCTCTCCCTCCTGGAGCTGGGGGACACATCTCCTCCTCCCCCATCTTTCCGTACCCTTCCATTTCCAGATGGGCACAGGGCTGCCCCCACCTCTTGTGGGGCTGTGCCTCATCACCCACCCACCCCCTCACCCCCAGCTGTTATTTAGGGGCCACAAACCCCTGCTGAGCCCTGGGGGGCCGGCCCTGGGTCGCAGCACCCATCAGCCGGAGCAGCTCCAGCGCACGGAGGGATTCGAGGCATTTTCCTCTTGCCTTGTAATTTATGCAAATGGGCTCTGTAATTAGCCATAATTTCAAGGCACTGCTCGGGGTTTCAGACGTTCCATGGCAAGGAGATGAACCCCCCCTTCCCGCATCCGCCATCCTCCTGCATGAGAGTCATTCCTTCCATGGGTGGTCCCAACAAAAGTGCTGCTCATGGCAGCTCCAGGAGCCCCTGCCCTGCTCAGCCCCTGCCCCAGCCCCATTCCTCCCAAGCCCCCCAGTCCCCTGTTGCTGCAGGAGGAGGTCACACCATACCTGATCCTTGCCCTGCAGCACACTCTTGGCCATGTCTTGGTGTCCCACGGTGTCCCATAGGGAATCCAAAGGCGCTGGTGGGATGAGGAGTTGCAGCGGGGGCCAACCCCACTGCAATCAGTGGGACCAGAGCCCTCATCAGGACTGATCTGTTCCCGTTCCACCAATCCCAGAAGAATGGGGAGGCTGGAACAAGACCCTGCAGTAAAGGGGCGTGAGATGTGCTACCATGTGCACCACACATGGGAAAAGCACATCAATTCCCAACAGCTGAGGGACCTGGGGGGTTGTGTCACCACCACCCACCCCTGCCCATCGGGGTGCTGCAACCAGGATTAGGACTGGGACTGGGATCCCCCTGCATCCCTCCTCGTGCCCTATACGGATCACGGCCCTGTGCACACTTGGGGCCACGTGTTTATGGCCAGCAGCAGCTCGCCCCATTGCTGCCCATCCCCTCCACGCCGGCGTCTCCGCGGTGCGGCAGAGCCGGGGGTCACCACGCTCCTCCCCCCACCCTCAGCGGCGTTTCGGCGGTGGCGGCAGCGCCGTCCCATCCCTGCACGCTCTGCCGGGACCCACGCGATGATGAAAACCAGGAGAGTTTCCCCCAGGGCAAAGGAGTTCCCGCACCCGCCGCCCGGCCGGGCGCTTGGCAAGCACCGGGAGCCGCGGGCTCCCACGCACCACATTGGCCAGCAGGGCTGCAGGTGGGCTCCTGGCTCCAGCAGGGTGCTGGCATACGGGGATACCATCCCTGATGGCTTTGCAGTCCCCAGCAGCCAGCCCTGCTCCACGATGGGGGACGTTGGCTGTAGAAATGGGGTCGTGATACCCAAGCTGCTCCATTGCGGTGATGCCATCTGGGAGCCCCCCCCCGGGGTCCCGGCAGCTCCCAGTGCTCACAGCCTCCGTGGGGACTGGGATGGGGCCAGGAGGGTCGGACCCCACAGCTGAGTATGGATGGGGTCCCACTCAGCTCCTCAGGCTGCGTCTGGGGCACGGGGGGATGTCAGTACCCCACTCTGATCTGCCACGCATCCATCACCTGCCCTGACACACGTCCATGTCCCATCCACCCCATGGCACAGGGATGAGTGGGGGCACTGCGTCCCCTCTGGTGGCACCCGTGGGGCAGGGGCTTGTCACCACCCCGGGGGGCTGCAGGGGGAACAGATTGGGGCTGTCCAGGCTGGGCCAGCTGCCGACGGGGCACAGGAGGGCGGAAGGAGGAGGGCGGCCATAGGCGCAGGAGGGAGGAGGTGGTTGTTGCTTTCTTCTTTTAATTACCCCCTGTTTGCGGTGTCTGCTGCGAACTTCCCGTCCCCTCCCTCCGCTTTCATGCGCCGGATCCCGAGCTGGGGACGAGGCTGCTGTCAACCGCCCGGGCTCTGCCTCCAAGGGTTAAAATCACCTGGGCCAGGTATAGGGGTGGAGCTGGGAAGGTGGGGAGGGAGGGAAGAGCCGGCGCGCGGCCGGGACCCACCATTCCTGCTCGCCCGGCCCAGTGGGTGCCCGGTCCCTGGGGAACCGTGCGGGTCCCTCGGGGGTCCCTTGGGAGCCAGAGCCGCCCGCCCGCCCGCCGCCGCCGATGAGGACGGAGCCGCCGGGAGCTCGCTGCTGCCCTTAGACCCGTACGTACCGCGCGGCGCCCCGACGGCACCGGCACCGCTCCGATGGTCCCGAGCGCGGGGATCCCGGTAACCGCGCTTCTGAACGGGACCGCGCCGCTCCCCGCTTTCCCCGAGCCTCCCCCCCTCGATCCTCCCGGCCCCCCGCCGTTCCCACTGCGGTCCCTTTGCAGCCCGGTCCCCGCGTGGGGCTGCGGTTCTCGGGACAACCGGGGCCCCTCCGCTCCGCTCCGCCCCGCCCCGCTCCGCCGCGGCCCCGGGGAGTTTCGCTGCGGTGCGCGGAGCCCCAAACCGCGGCATCGCCCCGCAGCGCCGGGATCGCCCCCGCAACCCCGGCGCTGTTCCAAACCCGCGGCATCCCCCGAACTCGCGGTATCTTCACGCGTGGAGCCCCGCGGGGATGCGGGTGCCCGGCCGGGCGCGGGCCGAGGGCAGCGGCTGCCGCCCATCCCCGCCGCGGGGCGCGGCCCCGGCTGAGAGTCGGGCAGAGCCGCTCTGCCCAGCCCGGCCCGTGACTCAGAGCGCATCACCGCCGCTGCCTCAGTTTCCCTGCGGTGGAACGGCCGCCGCGTCGCCGCCGAACCGCGCCAGGGAGGGACAGCGCGTGGCCCCGGGCTTCTGCCGTCATCTTCGGATGGATGGAAAAACGCCACCGGAGCGCCTCCGTGGCGGGGCGCGGTGGGACGGGGCTGGGGGCTCTGCCCCATGGCTGAGTGCGCGGTGGGGGCTGCCCGGTACCCGCGCTTCCCTTCTACCCCCGGCTCCTTCTTTTGATTTTCGGCACTGGGGGGATCGGGCTCGTGTTACCGGACCCCCCGTTCCCAGCTCCGTGTGGCCCCACACGACGTTGGTGGCTGCTCCATACCCTGCGATGGGCCGTGGGGTTTTGTGACCCCCGTGCGGTCTCAGTCCCCCCTGGGTGCCAGCCCTCACCTCTCTCCTGTCGTCCCCCAGTTGTGTGGACGGTCCTGGTAGTGTTGGGGACGATCGATACCAACCCTCCCCCCACGGGGCGGAGCAGAGCCGAGCGCAGGTGGGGAGCAGCACCCCCAGCCCTTGGGGGGGCTCACGCTGCAGCTCGGGGCTTCTGTAGCAGGTGGAGATGGGCTCCTTTGGATGGGGGAGGCTTCGGTACGGTGGGATCCCCCACCTCAGAACCGGGGAAAGCGGCGTCCCCATGGGGCTGGGGGCTGCCGGGAATCTCCAATGCTGGGGCCCCATAGCGTTGGGGATGGAGGCTGTGGAATACGGCCCGAAAGCATCACTGCATCCCTGGGGGTTTGTCCCCCCATCCCACAGTGGGGGGTGGTGGGAGGCAGTGCGGCTTCGCACCCATCGCCCTGGGGGTGTTGAGAAGGGGCTGCGGGTGGGGGGGATCCCGGGCACCGGTGGGAAACCGAGGGGGGGCGGGAGCCGGTGGCGGCAGGTGGATTTCAACACCGGGGTGGGGCCGGGCCCCCGTGGGGTTTGTGCGGCTCCGGTGAGTCACGGCTGCGCTGCGGAGAGCAGTGGGTGCCCGGGGGCTGGGGTGCGTGGCCGGGGGCGAAAGCAGCCCCGTGCCCGGCTTCAAAGCGCTGCCGGCGGCCGAGCCCCAAGGCTCCCTGCCCTGTCCCGCTGCCATCTGGCCCGGAGCTGTGTGCCCCCCCCCCGGCTGCGTTCCGCCCCCACAGCAGCGCATGGGCTCGTGGGTGCCGTGTCCCTGTGCTGTAGGGTGAGGCTTTGGGGCTCGGCCGGGCGGTGGGGCAGCGTTTAGGGCACAGCACCCCGCGTGTTTGGGGGACACGCGGCAGGGAGGTGACGAGGCAAAGCCCCGTGGCTTCCTCAGCTTTGGGAATTCGGGACCAGGTCTGTGGGAACGGCGCCTGGGGACCGGTGAGGTGCTGCTAGCCGGTACCGTCCAGGTGTCACACCGGGATGCGTGGTGGGAAATGCCCTCCGTGGGGTGATGGGTGCTGGGGACACCGCCTCGATGGGGATGGCACCCATGGCACAGCGTGATCCATGCACGGGAACTGCCGCCTGCCTCAACTTCCCTCTGTGTGAAGACGGGAATCGGGGCCACCACCGGCGTCACCCGCACACGTGGCCATGGGGACACAGCGGGGGGCGAGAGGGGGGAAGGGGCCCGCGGGGACTCAAGGTACGTCCCCTTCTGTTCTCACCGCTCTTCTCTCCCCCATCGCCCCCCCTCCCCCGGCCCTGCAGGTCTGTCTGCGCCTCCGCCCGCGCCGCCGTCCGGCAATGCTCACGGCTGTCTGCGGCTCTCTTGGGAACCAGTCCTCCGACGCGCCCCGCGCCTCGCCGACCCCCCTGGACCTGCAGCCGCTGCAGCCCTTCCAGCCCCCCCCACCGGGCGCCGACTTCGCCTCTCCGCTGCCTCCCCCGGAGTTGCCGCTGCCGGGCCCCGACGTCGCCTTCGCCGCTCCCGGCGCCTACGACCCCCATGGCCCCCCGCGGATAGAGCTGCCCCCCGACGGCCCCGCCGCCCCCGGTTCCTACGCCAAGCTGCTGCAGGCGGCCCCCCCGGACATGGCGCACCCCTACGAGCCCTGGTTTCGGCCCCCCCACCCCGCTCCCTCCGGAGAGGAGGGGGGGGTCAACTGGTGGGACCTCCACGCCGGGGCCAGTTGGATGGAGCTGCCCCACACGCAGGGGGGTCTCCAGGTGCCCGCGCCCCCCGGCCTGCAGCCGCCCCTGGGGGGGTACGGAGGGGGCGAAGCGCAGCTCTGCGCTCCCCCCGCCCATCTGCTGCCCCCTGCCCAGCACCTGCTGGGGCCGGAGGGGGCGAAGGCGTTGGAGGGGCCCCCCCAGCCCGAAGCGGAGGGAGGCGGGCGGGCCAAGGGGGGCCGCCGGGCGGTGCCGCGGGGCGGGGGGCAGGCGGCGTGCCGTTGTCCCAACTGCCAGGAGGCGGAGAGGGGGGGGCCGTGCCCCGAAGGCTCCAAGCGCAAACACCTGCACAACTGCCACATCCCGGGCTGCGGCAAAGCGTACGCCAAGACCTCGCACCTGAAAGCGCACCTGCGCTGGCACAGCGGCGACCGCCCCTTCGTCTGCAACTGGCTGTTCTGCGGGAAGCGCTTCACCCGCTCCGACGAGCTGCAGCGGCACCTCCAGACCCACACGGGCACCAAGAAGTTCACCTGCCCCGTCTGCGGCCGCGTCTTCATGCGCAGCGACCACCTGGGCAAACACATGAAGACCCACGACGGCGGCAAGGAGGGCGGAGAGCCCGACGTCAAGGGGAGCAACGAGCCGCCGGGGGGCAAAGGGGGCAAACGGGAGCCCGAGGGGGGCACGGCCGCCCCCACAAACTGAGCGGGTGCCGCGGATGGCGGGGGAGGGGGGGGG